AAATTCTCGACATATTTGACTCCACACGGCAATACCAGCAAATATCTTTTACGTTTTATGGATCACATGAGGACTACATGTACGTATGTAGGGGTGAACATTGGGTAGGGGCACACCCTTTACTTATAAGTAATTTATTTATTTGGGTAAATATTATCTTTAAGTTGTAAAAAAGTTTGATAAATAGTTGGTATAAAAAAATATACAGATAAATATAAGCTAGGTTATAAGTATAGTAGCTTAAAATTATTTAACTTTCAATCATCTAATTCAATGGTAAATTTACTTGTACACTTAGTTATGAGTTTAGGATTCAATTTCAAGCTTTTTATGTATTAAAAAAGTTTAAAATTGTTAACCCCTAATAGGATGACTCAATGGTTAAAAACTTGAAATTCTAAAGTGAGATTTCCGGTTCGAATCTTGAGTCGGGTGAAATGGGTTTCGAGAATAAAGAAGGGCTATCCCTTCTTATATAGTCCATAATCAGATATACCAAAAAAAAAATTTAAAATTGTTTATCTAACTTATTGATTGACTTATTATTTGAATTTATATAATTAAAAATTTTCTTGTATTTACATAAATTATACTTAATATTCTCACTGTATCAAAGTAATTATATATCACTTTTTTATTTTCTTTTTAAACTAAAAATTTAGGGGCAATTTGTGTGTTACTTATGAAGAAGCGAACAACAAAGCACAATGAACTAGTATGATAAGTTTATAGATCCATTTTTTCCTTAAATGTAAACTCGCCCACCATACAACTCCATGCAAACTTCTAATTGTCAATCGTTGTAACTTGTAAGCTATACCTCAACTTGCTAATGGGGGCAGTCAAGTCATTGTAGCTAGATATTTCCTTATAATTAGCCCCTTCTTTCCGTTGGAAAAATGAAGCTTAACTAATGTTCTCAACTACCAGGCACCGAATCTAAAAACTCTCCTCTCAACATCTCAACATCTCATTAGAGCGGGCGGTAAGAGCCTAGAGAGAATCACTCTCAACAACAAAGTTCTCATAGCCAAGTCAGCAGCCATTGGAAAAGCCTAAATGGATTGCAAGGATCTGGCATACCATCAATCAAGGCCTAACGTATGTTCCAACCCCAATTACTACCTATGTATACGACGTTACTAAAAGCTTAAACTCAAATCAATTAGTAGTTAATCGTCTTGACACAAGTGAACCATTTACACTTTATCTCTCCTAGATGTGAGATTGCAGTATCACATATGCAGTGGCAATGTGGAGACAACCTCTTAGTGGAGAGACATATTGCTGAATATTGTGGTGAATTTAAGGCATGTGGTTAGCTTCAAGCTTCAAGCAACATATGCAAACATGATGAAGTGTAGATAAATAGTCGATTCATAATTAAGATTATATGGCCGTGTTTAGCTTGAAGAATTCAAATTTCATAATCATAACATAAAAATAAAGCAAAGTTGAGAAACTTACTTGACAAATTTGAAATAAATAAAACTTATGATTGATCATATAATTTCTATTAAATTAAGAAATCAAGTAAAAAATAGCTATTACCATCTCTTCCCCTAAAAAATGAGTATTCTGTAGGTCTTTCCTAATCTAAAACAAAATTATCAACCTTAATGAGCCCAAAAGTATGTGTCTTATCTTATAAGCAAGGTCAATAATATGAGGGCATTTTTTAGGCAAAACCATACAATCTGCAGTCAGTACGCCGTAACAAGATACAATGCAGATTCTAACAACATAAGTCTAAGCTGTCCTTAAAAGGTCAAGTAATTAAGCTGCTGGATATTGGGTTTAAGGGTCCAACCTTTCAAAACTAAAGGCTGCCTAATGTATGAGAAGTTTATGGTCATCAAGAAAACACAAGGAAAATCTAGCTTTAGCTCTGCGCTTTGGGACCTTGGTACTATTTTTCTCTGCGAGGATTTTGCTCACAACTCAGAATGTCATCCACATGAATTTGTACACTTCTAACACCCCTCAAC